CGTTTCGGGCAACGTTTCTTTATTGCACGGAACGTAGGCGATTATATATTGCAGTAATTGTATATTGTGTGTTATATTGCTTTTCTTGTAAGGTGAATGTGTTGAGTTGGCGTGTTATTGTTGTCCCGATTAGCGCGCTACCACATCCCAGACGGACTGGATGGGATTTTTCCGGCGTGTGATTCTGAATTTGGCTTTGTAAAGTCACGCACACACAAATATATATATACACGTGCAAGCACTGCAATCATACAAACGTTTAGTCATTGGTGATTATGGTGCAGGTCTCCCCACGCCCCGAGCAGCCATGGAGGTTGTTGGACCATACTCCCAACGACACCGGTCGGCGAGGGAAGGCGTTCGTGAATGATCGATCCAGGACGAGTTCAGATATCGCTCGTAGCTGATGCTAGCCGTGGCCCGGCATGGGACTCGAGTGGCCCGGTTCACAGCGCAGTGGGTCAACCACCGCGTCACCGCTCCGCGCTCGACACAACGACGCATGGGGCCTTGTGTCGATGCCGTCCACCGCTGGATGATCGTGGCAAAGCCACGGGTTCAGACGTCGCTCGCCACTGATGTTAGCCGTGGCGTCGTGCTGCTAACCGCTGCCCCACGCGCTCCACGTGCCGTTGAATGCACCGCAATTTCAACGTGAACTGCCGGAGTCGGCATTCGACGATGTTGCAAACGAAACCGTTTAGGTGGAGGATTGTAAAAAAAAAAAATGCATAAAAGTTAGACGCGTAGGCTTTCGCTACCAATATTATACGTAAAAAGTTTATTTTTTGGGTTAGATCGCGTAAATATAAATGTGTCGTAACCCGCCACCACCCGACACAGCCAACCAGTAAAGTTTGTCACGTGAACTAAACGTGCCAGTTAGTTGCTGCTTCAGCCCAACGGTGTGTTGGAGAGTAAACCCACAATAATCACCGGCGGAACGTCACGGAACTCAAATTGTAAACGTTGTGGATTTACTCTCCAACACACCGGTGGGCTGAAGTCGTAAGTAACTGGCGCGTTTTGTTTACGTGACACACCTTACTGATTGGCTGTGTGGGGTGGTGGTGGGCTACGACGCATCTCTACTTACGCGATGTAACCCAAAACACCTGTAATTGTGCGTAACATTTTTGAACTGCGTAACATCGTTTTAATGTGAATGTTTGTTGCCATCCGGATCGCCAAAGGTCTCCATGCAGCAGGGGACTCATTGACAAAGAGCCGTGAATTGCTTCTTTTACAGAATCATTCAAATTCATTAATTCGCCCGTCACGTGCATTGTTCCGGTCTACAAGAGAACGCTCCGTTTGACCTACTGACCTATACAATTAAATACATCCCCAGCTGAGACTTGATGGACACTGTGCACTGTTTGCGTTTAATGTTTAACTTAACGGTAATCACATTTAACGCGTGGCTGAGCCCCGGCGCGCGTGTGTGTATGTATATAAATACATATACACTTATACCTATGCGTAAACAACGTTGAAAATTAATAATATTAATGTGTCAAAAAAACCACGTGTCAATCAACTGCTGGCGTGAAAGGCCCGACCACGCCGTCGCAGTGTATACATGAGTTGTTTAACCATACTTCACCACCCTGGTCAGTGCCGGTTGGTAGCGGGTCAGATACAATTCGTCACTGGTGTTAGCCGTGGCTGGGAATCGAACTTGGTAGGCATATCGTGTGTGCATTTATATACACACACGCGCGCGCGCATACATGGTATGCGTGTTTGTGTGTGTGCGGCCTTCAAAGGTGCTCGCTAACAGCACTTGCCCCTACAGTATGTTAAGGCTATATGGGGGATCTTTGTCTTTGTATATAAGGGGAGCGGTAGTGTAGTGGTTAGCGCGCTGTGCTATGCAACGCAACCGACGACCCGAGGTTTATTCCCGCTCGTGGCCAACACCAGTGACGATTCTCTGAACCGGTCCTGGGTCTTCCCTAAGTCGACTCAGCCTCAAATGCGTACCCGGTGCGGTGTGTAAACATCGCCACTCGGGAGACAAAGGCGGCCGGACGTGGTGTTGACCATCCATCCTCTCGTGTGAGGTCTACATAGGTGCTCGCTAACAACACTTGCCCCAACAGTCTGTTCAGGCCATACGGCAGATCTTTGTCTTTGTTTTCAATATACAGTGCCGTTCCGGCCTTCATAGGTGCTCGCTAACAGCATTTGCCCCACGAGTCTGTATAGGCTATACTGGGGGATCTTTGTCTTTGTATTCACACACACATATACGTGGCCGATTATACTTATTGAATGTCTCTACACACATTGCCGTAAAAGTTCACAAATTCACGCGTGTGTTTTTTGTTTTGTTACAATTATTCAAAGATCGTAAATTATAGTCATACAATTGCTCATAAATGTCCCACGTGTATTTGTAAACTAAATCATTGTATTGTGCATGCGTATGTCTACATCGTAGATGATACGGTGCATGGATTCTTTATTTATCCTGGAGAAATCCGATGAGCTATGAAGCTCTTTTTCACAGATGTCCAGTGAAATCGCACAGTCAGGCCTGCAATCGGTTATTCAACATATTTCGCGAACACGCGCACGCATCTATTGAGCTTATGCCCGCACGACGGGACTAACGGCGCATTGTCTTAAATCACGGTGTTTGTAAGTAAAGTGTCGCACGCTCTGGGTTATAACACACTCCGTGAACACAAGACGTAAATCACAGTGTTTGTAAGTAAAGTGCCACACGCTCTGGGTTATAACACGCTCCGCGAACACAAGACGTAAATCACGGTGTTTGTAAGTAAAGTGTCGCACGCTCTGGGTTATAACACGCTCCGCGAACACAAGACGTAAATCACGGTGTTTGTAAGTAAAGTGTCGCACGCTCTGGGTTATAACACGCTCCGTGAACACAAGACGTAAATCACGGTGTTTGTAAGTAAAGTGTCGCACGCTCCGGGTTATAACACGCTCCGGGGACACGAGGCGCGCAAACAAACTTGCGCCAGATGTAAAAAAAAAATGGTTCAAATCTGGTCACACCAAGCCCCCACGTGCCGCATTATGAGACGCAACCCAAGACGCCGTTTGCCTTTAAAATGGAGGAGATTCAAAGAGACAAGTGTCTTTTATTTCGGAGAATACTGTGTAGGCAAGTTTGACGATGTTCCTGAACCATTTTCCTCCTCGCTACGCAACTTCGCTGCGAGGTATCTCTTCCGTGAGCACATCGCCAACCATTTGAGTATCTCATTCCAACGCTTGTCAATTACGCGGATATACGTGTATGTGTATATATATATATTACGTATATATAGACGGAGCGTAGGAAATGCAACCGCATCTCAAGACCCTGCAACAGAGGAGGCAACACGTGGATTCGCTGTTTGACTGCCCGAATGTCGAAACCGTGTGCGCACGACGAGCGAAGCAAGGAATGGACTCGTGGGACGACATGGCACTCGCCTTCTTGATTTTGTCTCGAGTGGTGAAGGGCGCATGATGTGCATCAGATACTCAATGTGAACTCGTGGCCCACCCCTCGTTCGAGGCGGAAGAGCGTTAAGTGCGAATGGAATAAATTCATATTGATTTCAAGATTTCGCGACTGCAGGAATCCATACTCTTAGGTTCTTTCGGTAAAGTCACGTAGGTAGAAAAAACTTATCATTTTTTATTTTTTTTTACCTACGTGACTTTACCGAAAGAACCAAAGAATATGAATTCCTGCAGTCACGAAAGCTTTAAGTCAAGGAATAAATTAAGTTTAATACGTAGTCGGCTTTCACGACCAATATCATGCCATAATAGAAGGTTTTTTTGAGGGGTTAGATCGCGTAAATATATAGATGTGTCGTTAAGCCCGCCACCACCCGACACAGCCAATTAGTAAGGGTTGTCACTTAAACAGAACGTAGCCAATTCGTTACTAGTACAGCCACAAATATGGTTGTCACTTGATGATGCTAGTTGTAATTACTGGCGACACGTCGTACTCAGATTGTAAATGTTGTGGCTTTGCTGGTGTGCTGTACTCGTGACGAATTGGCACATTCTGTTTACGAAGTCCGCTCGCTGCTATGCTTACGTTCCTTCTTCCTGCCTCTCCTTTCTCCACTCATTCGTGTACTTGGCCATCATCTCCACGTCCACCCCAAAGTCATTCATCATCACCGCTCGGAACCACCTATCACGGTGATTCTGTCGATGCCTGCCTCTCGATCTTCACCCTGGTGATTTCCATGTCCGTCGACGTGTTTCTCCCGACTGTTGGTTCCTCTCTCCTCGTCAGTACCACGTCTACTACAACGTCCTCTAGCCGTCGAGACGACAGTATCCTGCACCATATAGGTTCATGACCGGCTTTCCAAACGCATTACCCTTTTGTCAATTGCCTTCAGCACCAGGCGATGCTGGTGCGGTGGTGGCATTGGCTGGCAGCATTGGGACTCGCAATTTAAATATCTCCGACTTCGATGTCCCGGTGCGGCATACACACAGTCTATATATATATACTGTGTGTATGTATGACTGGGTGCAACCACAGCTAGTTGATCGCCAGGTCCCGTGTCGTGGGGGTAAAGTGTGTGGCCACCTCACGTGGGACGTCTGACCCTCGAGATCAGGGGCCGGCTACCGACATTTTTGTTTTCGAAATCAGTATATATTAAAAAAAAACCCCTAGATATTTCAAGAGCCGCCAAAGCGCTGTGTGGTGAATACGAGACGGTGGTGGTCCTTAATGAATGAGTCACGATGCAGTCCTTAAAGAGCCACCGCGTGGGGTTCCGTCGCTGCAGGTTGCCAACGCATTGCTCTAGACTGTCTCTCGAGAACACCCTCTAGTGATCGAGCTATTACAGGGCTGCACCCACCCTAACCCTGCACGCTTTGCGAACGAACGAAAAATGTAATGAACGAATGTATAATTTCAAGAATGCACCATCAAACATCACGCCGCGTGTCTGTCCGGTCCGTGCGTCCGTCCCGCCTGCCTTGACCGATCGCCGCAGGGCACTTTCCACGGTCATGGCACTGGGCGCCAACATCATCTGCAACAAGATCCCGGGACTGGCACCACGGCAGCGGGCACTGTGCCAGAGCCGTCCGGACGCGATCATCGTGATCGGCGAGGGCGCGCAGCTGGGAATCAGCGAGTGCCAGCACCAGTTCCGATTCGGCCGCTGGAATTGCTCGGCGCTGGGTGAGAAGACGGTGTTCGGCCAGGAGCTCAAAGTTGGTAAGCGCCCCAACTCGGCGTCATTGTGGCGGAGGAGTCCACCCGCGGTGTGCGGTTGCCCGCGCTTGCCACCGTGGTGGTGCGTGCGCGGGCGTGTGCGTCGTGTGTCGCGCGCGTCGTGCGCGTGCGTCGTGTCGCGCGCGTGCGTCGTGTGTGTGTACCGCACGGCGCGTTCTGTCGACGATCAACGGATGCACGAGGGGTCTTCCCCACTCCGAGCGAGTTGTGGGGGATGTTGTTGTTGTTGTTTTTGTTGTCGTTTGACCATTGTTATTGTTTTGTTGTTATTATTGTTCCGCTTATATACACGGGGAATGGCTCACTGAGTCTCGTGAATTTTTAAAAAGAGGATCCTGCCAAGTGTTCGCAATAGTGGGGGCGGTGATTGCGATGCGAAATCAAAGTTGAAGAATTTGCGTGTATTTTTTTAGATTCCAATTTGGTACATTTTGCCACATCATAACGCCGGCACACAATGGCGCGAATGGCGTCACGGGATCTTTAACGCCCACCGTAAAGCAGACGGCGCGTGGTGTTTTGTTGTTGTTATACCCGCAGCATTAATCAGGGCAGCCGCTGTGGATCAAACCGTGAACCTCTGCGACAAGCGGCTAGAAACGCGCCTCCGCTGGGCCGCGTTCAGCGCATCAGCCGCACCTTGGGGTGGTCAGGAAAAGTTCCAGGGGTAATCCTTCGCAATCCTCTCGCCGCTGTTGTCAGCACATAGCCGGGAATGAAACCTCAGGGTTCCAAGCGCGATAGGTACCCTCCTCCCCCGCCCCTGCGCTGCTGCGCCGCTGTTCCTGCCCATCGCCTGCCGTGCACGCATTACATCACGGCGACGATGGCGAGTTCGTACTAACTCTGTAATTGTACGGCAGCGGTAACGTGGACTCTTTCGTTTTTTTATTTGAAAATTAGTGGTCCAGAATTCTATGCTTGGCTATTAAAATTCAATCGCGTGATAACCGCACTGATTTGATAAGACCTATACCACAACCATGCCATATATGGTGGCACCATCGAGTTAAATACTTGGTCTGAGCCAATGAGTAATGGGGGACAGCGATAATAACGATTGTTTAATTATTGTACGTGAATTGCGGTGGGGTTGGGCCGGGGTAAGGATCCGAAACCAAAACAACAAGAAAAGGCATTTTTTTTTCCAATTCGGTAAAACAAAACAAAAAACATCAAAATTTCAAGAGCTTCAATACACCGTGGTGAACACGAGACGGTGAGGTCCTTTATGAACGACGCCACGACAAAGCAGTCCTTGAAGAGCCTCAATACACAGTGGTGAACACGAGACGGTGGGGTCCTTGATGAACGACGCCACGACGAAGCAGTCCTTGAAGAGCCGCAAAGCACAGTGGTGAACACGAGACGGTAGGGTCCTTGATGAACGACGCCACGACGAAGCAGTCCTTGAAGAGCCACGGCTCGCGGCTTCCGAGCCGCAGGCTGTCAACGCCCCCGGGAGGCCCAGGGCCAACGCTCAGCAGGTTGTCGAACAACAACAACAACAAACATCTACAGAATTGAAGGTTGCGTTGCGTGCAACCCAAAGGAGGGAACGCACATCCCCGAGAGGACGTCCGTAGCTCGGAGACGGAGCGGCGAGGCGAGCTCGCGCGAGGTGTATTTGTGGCATCGCGAGAACCGTGAGAGGCGGCGACGGCATGCGGGATGCCTTCGACTGGCAGGGGATTGACCATGGCTGGTGATGACGATGACGACGGTCATTATCAGTGGTATTGGGAACACAAGGTTCAGTGCATTTCCATATTCACGTCCACTCCAGAGTTACTTTACTCGGTAGGCGCGGTGGAATAATTGAAATTGATAGCTCGAATCGATGAAATAATTTGTTAAAGTATCACGGAATTTCTTAAAATTAACGCAACTAATTATTTGCGCATCTTCCGTTATCTCAACTGAGCTTGCCGAGTTACCCGTCTGTGAGCGGGGCTAAGCTACGTCTGTCGGAATATGATGCTGACGGACGTCAACTCGGACATCACACAGCTCAGGTGACCCGCATTTGAATACAATAACGTGAGGAGTTCATCGTGATCCGCACCTGCACCAGACCTTATTCCGTGGCTCCATCTCCACCGGCAGGGCCCTCCTCTCGGACGAATTCCATCCTTTGGCTGCCACTCTGCACCTCGGCTCGCCCCACTGGGTCATCCGCCGGTCCCTCCGTGACGACGGCGAACGCCAAAGGTCACTCGCCAAGCCGAGCAAACGGATTCACCAGCAGCAAAATGTCGTGCAGACTTTGGACAGTAATTCAACGTCCCGGGTCTCATCAAGCAGTCAGGCTCGCGAACCAAACACCGCTGGTGTACCGAACGTTGTTGGTAAGAGCACTTCCTGTATAAGACGGGGCCCTGCCGGCGCGCTAAAACAAACAAGAATTGCGATTACCGACCGCGCAAAATCGAGTTTTTCATCGAAATAAACGCAACGAAAATATGTACTCGTGAAGTGCATAGACCACCCCCCCCCCCACTCTAACGTGTGCATGACGCATGCGGGCATCACAACTGGGAACGATGATCCATCATGATCCATCTGGGAACGATGATCCATCATGATCCATCATCGTTCCCAGAAAACGATGAGTCTTCATCCATGACAACATCTGAGGCACCAGCCTTTCACTTCATAAGTTAAACATTTACACTGCAGAAACGCGGGGATCGCAGATGTGATCTTCATCATCAACCACGATCTATATCTATCCGCTGCTGGATGAAGGACTTCCCCAAGCCGCCGACATCCATCGTGGTCTTGCGACGCAACAATCCACGTTTAGCACCGGCACACAAACCGATGTTTATCGCTCCGTCTCCGCGATGAACGTACTCTCGGGCACGTCCCTTTCTTTAGCCACCTCTAAGTTGCTAGACTCGGCAACTGGTCACCCATCATCCCTGCCTAGCCCACCTTCGATAGGACGCCTCTCAACACGAGTCTGTCCTCTCATCCACGTGTTCCTCTTCTTATCCCTCAATGCAATCCCAAGCACGGACCTCTCCCTGCCTCTTTACTGCGCCTCTCAGCCTTCGCGTTTCTGGCGCACGGCGGCGAAAGATCTGGCCACTGCTTGAGTAATTGGCACAAGGCAGACGGAAGTGGAAACCAATGACGAAATGTGCAGCGGGCACCGACGGACTATCTGCCCCCATGGGTCGTGGTGAGGATGATGATGATGATGATTATGAGAGTGAGATGGATACGGCGTGCCGAAACTATTTTCGGGAACGTTGTTCCGGACCGAGATTTCAGCACTGGTGCTATGGCCCTACAATGCCCATACGAGTTCCTCTCCACGTGGTCACGATTGGTTGACACTTTTGGCGAGCCCCCTATAGCTTCTACTCCTCGGCTGGTGGTGGTGGTGGTTGTGCCGGTGGTGGTGGTTGTGCCGATGGTGGTGGTGGTGGTGGTCGGTGTCCGTGAGGTCAATTTCGGGTTCCATTCGCATGCCACGGACGCACGCGCATCGCTTTCAATCAAGTCAAGACAAAGGCTCTCGCGGAGAAAACTGGGAAGTCTTGTCGCTCACACGCTCCCTCGAAGACGCGCGCTGCGCTCAACTGAGGCGGCTTTGTTCTCGCTGTCGTCATCGCGCTCGCGGATACGCCAGACACTTTGTAATTGCATCCCGAGCCTTAAAGGAAGACGTTAAGCCAAACAAATAATGCACACACAATGTGTATATATATTATTGCGTGCGTTTGGCAATATGTTCACGAGATGAATGCGAATGTCGAGAGGGCTTCATCGTAGAGACTGTGAGAGAGTTCCTGTAGTTTGTCTGTTCCCCATCCGTTGGGAGGATTGCAGCCTACGGTGGATGTTGTTGCTATGGCCCATAGCTTGGTTTGCAGGGCCACTGCCGCACTTCTGAGGACCGTCATTCATTTCTCATTCATCGGGGAGATGCGCGCGTCGTCCCATTGGTGTTCCGATGCGGTTGACGGTCAGTGTCCTTGCGAAGGAGGAGTGTCAAAGCCGGGAGGAGGTGGTGTGACGTTTGGGTCTCGAATGCGGTGTTTATATTCTCCGCGTCGGCGTTGTTCCACTCCCGTTCGCCAGCCTTCTTCCGGATCTGGGTGCTGGGATTCTGGGATGGTGACAGCGGCGGTGGCGGCGGCAGCAGCGCGATCCCAGAAGGGGGAGGGGGGATCTGTACCTGAGTAGCCAGTGTGCGAGGTGAAGATGCTGAGGTCTTGGTTGATGAGAGGGTGGGCGATTGTCGTTGGCAAGAAAAACGTGAAAAACCTTCCCTGGCGGTTTGCGCGATGTCTCTGCAGGACATTAGGTCTCACAAAATGTTGACCCAGAACGTAATAGATTCGGGGGGGGGGGGGGGGGGGAGGGGGGAATGTTGAGTGGGCAATACGTCTCCACATGTCCGTCTCTCCACATGAAAAAAAATCAACGTGCTTCTTACACATCCCGTCAGCCGCACGGACTTCTGGGAGTGCGTCATGTCAGCAGCATTGTTTCAAGACGGGCAAACTCCGGAACGGTTTCGACAATCGGTGTCTCGTCAGCAGGGTCAGGGGCTTGCTTCAATCAACGGTGGTGAACTGGCGATCTTGCAGGCATGGTGGACCCTCCCTCCCTTTACGATATGCGGCCCCCAATTGGACGTGAAATTGTACAAAACATAAGTCACCGTGTATAATAATCAGCTGCTCTCTTGTAGTTGTGCAGCCAGGCTGATTGGCTAATACGAGTTGAAGGTATTATCATTATTATTCAGAAGAATCGAACGTTTTACATCACGGATTTTGCCATACTTCTTTCCCGTTGTCGCAACACGACACGTTTACCAAAGTGATCTTTCCCGAATTAAGTCGTTGCATGCTGCACGCGCCTGATGATTGTTAAACATGTTCCACTTGGCGTAAACAGCCTTGATTCGCTTAACATAGATATTCTGTGTGTGCGTGTGCGTGTTGATGTCTTGCGAGTGTGTG